GGGAGGCTGAGGCAGGAGGATCACTCAAAGTGCAGAGACCAACTTGGACTACATGGTGAGTTCTTAGGCTACTTAAAGAGACCCTGTCTAAGAAAAGGAAGAAGAGTCACACTCCTGCTCTCCCTCCCCCCAGAAGCTTGTGGTCTCTTGTTCTCTCTGGTGTTCATTTTTGGTACTGCCTGTCATTGAGGGCTGCCTCAGTTCCTGTCTTAGACACCATGCACACACAGAGGCACACACACACACACACACACACACACACACACAGAGTTGTTGGATGTTGCTGTGTCCTTGCGTGGCTCTATGGACTTGGAATGACTGGGGCGGTGAGGAAATGAAACAACAGATATAAGGACATGAAAAAAGGCTCTCTGGTGGAGAAAACGTAGCACCTGGGAAACTCAGCACGTTTATTATATATATGAACAGAGAGGTGGGATTCTTGCATACAGTTGAACCAGGGGCTAGCATTATTACATGCACATACACAAGGGGGCAGGGTGGTTATGTACAGTTGAACAAGGAGGCAGGGTTAGCTATTCTTGGTAGGAGCAGTCACTGTAGGGAAGCAGTCTTCAGGCTGGAAACATTTGGTGCTGGGGGAATACGATGGACCTTTCTATACACACCGTTAACATTCCCACTTGGAACAGTTATGCCATCCCCCTGAGCCTCACCTGGGGAAAGTCTGCCACTCCCATTATGCATGGGTCCTGGACACAGCTGTGCCCATGTACTGTGGACTTCACACACAGGTTCCTCCACTCCCCGCCGGGTGTAGGTTCTACTTTCCCCTTTACCTCTCAAGAAAGAAGCCCCAGTTGGGTGTTTTTCCCAGTTATTACTGGCTATGTGGGAGGAGCATGTATTGGCCTCTCCAGGGTGGGTGCTTCTCGGGCTCCTGGGACTTCCTGGTAGTTTCTGGGGTGTTCGTGGGTCTTCCTGCACCGCAGGTTGTTAAATCAGCCTCCCTGACATGGCAGGAACCCAGCTGTTTTCCATTCCACTGCTTTCCTTTTGGAGTCTCTCCCCTTGCTTGGCAGTTTCCAAATCCATCATTTTTCTCCTCACCTCTTCCAAGGGTGCTGATTGATCCATTTAAAACCTTGTTTCAAGGCAGCGAGATTGTTCAAGAGCTGAGGACACCTGCCACCAAACCTGATGACCTGAGTTTGATTCAAGAACCAGCATGCTGGAAGGAGAGAGCCACACTCACCCTCCCATGGAGCGTGCACGCATGCCACATAAACATACAAATGTAATTAGAAGCATTCTTTCTTTGTGTTTCCATGTGGCTTGACTGCTCGTGTCTCCATTTTATTCTTCCCATATTCCCATCCCTGCTGGAATTACCCGTTTGATTTTGTTTGTCTGGCATTCTTGTAACAGTCACTATGAATCAACATTCTAATTATGGTTGTATAGTTTTATCTCCTACTCATAGCTTCAGCATCTGTCCATCATTGAGCCTGGTTAGAACCACGTTGTTCCATTAGGCTGTGTTTTTCTTCTCCTTTTGTGCCCTACGGTTTTGTTTTGTTTTTTTGAAGTACAGACACAGTATGTATAAATATTTTTCAGCAACACCAAGGTCAGTTTTTTTGTTTTCTGTTTCATTTATTTCTATTTTGTTTTTAGTCATTTTATTATTGCCGTTTAATTTTATCTTCCTTTCCTAACTTCTCAAAAAGTATTTGTTTTTGTTTTATGTGTACATGTGTTTGCTGTATGTATATGCACCATGTCAGTGCAGAGCTAATAGAGGCCAGCAGAGGGCATCAGAGCCTCTCAACTACCTGGGAGACTGAGGCAAAGGAACTTAAAGACCAAGGCCAGCTTGGTTTGCAGGGTGAGTTCAAGGCTACCCTGGACAACTTAATGAGAATCTGTCTCAAAAGTTGAATGAGAGCTGTGTGGGGTCTCCCTTTTTCTAGTGATCTGTTGGCCACCAGACTACGAGGATGAGGGGAGCAGAAGCAGTAAGCAGGGCTTTGTATGGCTGTGAGTTTGATGAAAATAGCCTTCTGGGAGTCAGCTGCAGAAAGACAGATCAACTTGATTCCAGAGTGAGGGATGCAGAAGACGGGACAGCAGCTGGGACAACACCTAAGAGGTGCTCATGCTGTGCTTCGATTGCAGTTAGCAGCACAGTCCCATCATATAGACGGGAGCAGAACCTCTAATTACCATATAGGGGGGCAGCGGGAGAGCATTTGCAGGGAACTGTGTTAAAGGTCACATTTAAGATAAGTCAGGCATCCAAGCTCTGGGGAATAGACTCCAAATAAGGTCAGGCAGAGAGTAGGAAGCCCTGCTGGGGGAAGGGAGTCTTCCATTTTACACTGAGCTCAGAGAACTGTCCGGACAAGGTGGGCTGCAACTTTAGGCAGCAGGGTCTTCCAACAGGCTGGGCACGTGACTCAGTGGTAGAGTGCTTGTCTAGCCTGTTAGAGGCTCGGGTTTAATCTCTAGCGCCACCCCCGAATTAATTAATATAAAATGTTTTTACACTGATTTACTGTGTGTGTGCCACAGTGTGTGTGTGACAGAGGACAGCTTGGGAGAGTCAGTCTCTCCTGCCGCAATGTAAGTTCCTAGAATTGAGCTCAGGTCATTAGACTTGGTGTAAGCGGTTCACCTGCTGAGCCATCTTGCCAACGCCCATAAATAAAGATTTCTAACTTAAACATTGTCCGTTGGCTCCTCCTGTAAGAGCTCTGTCATTACTATTGGTTGTCAGTTTCATTGGATTGAGGGTACCTAAGAGCATGGTAAGGCACTTTTGTGGCTACAAGTAGCCTTAGCACAGAGGATTTGATCATAAGGGTTGTTACAGAGATAATGACTCAATCCATCTATTGGTGGACTCAATATTTCAACCAATTTTGGAGTGTTATGGATTATAGAAGGTGGGGTCCTGGCTGAAGGAGGTGAGCTTCCAGGGGTGTCTTTGGAGGTCTGTTTTGGCCCTGCCCCTCCCTGCCAGCTTCTCTTTGTTTCCTGGCTACCAGGAGGTATACAGCTTCCTCTTCCAGGCCCTTCTTCTGGGATGTTCTACCTTGCCATGACCCAACGCTCAGTGGAGTCAGTCAGGTGAGAACTTTAAATTGGCCAACCATGACCCGAAATTAGCCCTTTATTTAGACCCCGAAGTTATCCCTCTCAAGCGTATGTCACACCCACAAGAATATGAGTGACGCCGTTTCTCCTCTCCTGAGATATTACCTCAGATCTGTGCTTCGACCTCACGTGTCCGGCTGCCCTTCGACTTGCTCTTCTTTCGTCGTTTTGTTCTCATTCCAGGTCTCCTCTAAATCCCTGTCTGATTGCGTTCATGGCTTCTTGTCTGATGCTTGTCTTCTACCAAAAAAATTACTTCAGGATAATATTTGTTTTATTCACTGATTTTTTTTTCAAATAGCTTATAATAATGCCTGGCACAGAGATGTTGTTATGTTTGGTGGCAGGTGAGGACGGACCACAATATACAACCAACCCATGCATGTGGGAGTTTACTGATTGGGGGAGATGGTGAAAGAGAAAGTCGTGCTGGTTGACCGAGAAAGAGAAGTGAGGGAGAAGAGAGCGAGGGATGGGTGGAGCTTGTTTTTAAAGGGGCCTTGACGCGTGTGTACAGAACCTTAGAGCAGACACACAGCGGCCTTAGATCACAGATCCTATACATGGCACATAACGTAGAGCGTAGGGCCTTAGAACACAGATCCTATGGCTTTCTCTCGTACTTTGAAAACTCAGACCACACCCTGGCAGTCTCTTGCTCCCTGGACCGAGAGCTGATATATAACCTGCTGTGATATTCCAGTGCTCACTGGATTGAGTAATTCCTTCTCCTCTTCCACCTGCCAGCCCAGCCCCCGGAGATACCCGACAACCTTGAATTATAACTTAGCTTGCATCTAACGCCTTCCTGTCTTGTCTTGTGACTCCGGGCACACAAGTTCTGTCATGTGATATGGACCAACACCTACTTTCCCAAATCTTTAAGAATAAGGAATTCTTGCCATCGGGAGCTGAGGGGTCTGCTTTGCCCATCAGAGCCCCATCATGGCTATTTGTGGACTGATTCTAATAACTATTGTAACAAGTCCTTTTCTGTCCCGCCAGCCAGCTCCCAAATAATGACATGGAGATTCATTGTTAATTATGAAAGCTTGGCTTTTAGCTCAGGTTTGTTTTCAACTAGCTTTTATAAGTTAATTAACCCATATTTTTTATTAATCTACATTCTACACATGACTTTGACCTCTATCCCATTCTGTGTCTGACTCTTTCCACATCTGGCTGGCATCTCTCAGGAGCTTAGATTCATCTCGAGTTTCCTCTCTCTGCCAAGAAGTCCCACCTAGCTCTCCTGCTTAGTTATTGGCCATTTAGCTCTGTCAATCAAACCAATCAGAAGTCTCCTTAGGCAGAGCATGTCTTTACAGTGTAAACAAATACTTTACCACAAACTTACCCCGCCCCTTTTTGTTTATTTGAGGGAAAAGAAGAATTTTAAAGACTTATTTTTTGTATGTATGAACATGAAATGCATGCACTGCCCGGAAAGGCCAGAAGGGGGCGGTGGAACCCAGGCGCTGGAGTTACAGTACTTTGTGAACAACCTCATACAGGTAGTGGGAACTGAGCCCAGGTCCTCAGCAAGAGCAGCAAGGACTCTTAAACCCCTGAGCAGCTTTCCAGCCCCACTATTACTTATAATAAAGCTCTTCTAGAGAGTATTTCGTGCCATCCTTCTTTACATGAACCAGCAACATCTTTCATTATTTATCTAACAAGCAGGTGTTTGGCTCCTGGTGTTCACTACTTCTTCCACTGCATCTGTGCACCAGAGTTGAGCCAAACCCAGGACAAACTCAGGAACTTCAAATCCCAGAATCCCTGGGTCTCGAAGCGGACTACATTTCCCAGAGGCCTCCCGTCTTCGGACCCGGAGCCCTGACCTCCCGTGAGCCTTCACGGGCCCTGGGGCGTCTCAGGCGCCCTTCGAGGTGGGGGGCCGAGGTACCTAGACGGAGTCCGCGCGCGCGGCCGCTCTGAGCCTCCGTGAGGCGTGGCGGAGCCTCAGGGCGGGGAAGGTGAGCGAAGGCCAGTTCTGTTCGTACGCCAGACGGGCTGGGCAGGGTTCGGCTTGGCACGGCCTCCCGCTTTCCAGCGTCTAGGGCGCGTCCCCCTCCTCGGGCACCGGCCTCTGGCACGCGGAGAAACGCGCGCTCCCGGATGTCTCGGTCCTGGACTGCAAGTGACCTGCACCCCACGGCCTGGGCGGGGCTAACTCAGGCTATGTTTCCCGTGCTACCCACCTGTCCTGGGCCACTAGTCCCCTTTCTGGAGTTTTTTCTGGGCAGCAGGCAATCGACCCCTTGACAGCAGCAGAACAGCTGTGTGGGCAACGCGTGGGGAGAAGGAACACGTCCTGGACCCGTGTCAGGTCTGAGCGGTTGCAACCGGATGCGTCCCCACTGTGGCTGCACTCCGGCCTCAGTTTTCTGATCTAAAGGGGCCAGGCAGTGCCAGCTGAGCTGTGGCGAACAGTGTAGGATGATGCCTGGCACGTGGGGGTCAGTGAGTCTGGTGTCGCCTGAGTCTTGCTTCTGGAAGTGCCGGACCAGAAGAGTAGTGACCTGTCAATTCTCTGAAGCCCACCCCCAGCTCCTGCTTCTTTTCTCTGAAGGCAGGAGAGCCAGGCTCAGCCGATGGGACGCTTTTGAAGATGGTGTTTCTGAGGGGAGCGAAGCAGCAGGTGCTACCTACCCCTTTCTTCTTTTTCTTCCCTCAGATTCGTCTTCATCTTCACCTACAGAGAGAACATGGCTCCTGAGCAAAGGGAAGCGGGGTCTCAGGTAAGCACACTGCCATTTGACTTCTTAGTGGAAGCAGGGGTTTGGTTTGGCTTTTTTTTTTTTCCTTCCTGACGCAAGTTCTCCACATAGTTCAGCCTTCACTAGGATTTGGAGCCCATGTCCTACTTAGAGGAGTTGATCCTCCCTCTGTGACTGGTGGATTCTGTAGCGAGTGCACCCCAATTTCACAATTCTAGTCTTCTGTATTTCTTGATAGACACACTATGGTTGCCTGATCCCAGGATGGTGCATGCCTAAAAATTCCACAAGTAGCATATCAGGTGTCCTGGGACAGAATAAACATACATACTCGAGAAAATTCCTTTCTGCCTCCCACACTCATCCGTGCGAATTCTTTTCCCTTACTAATCTTCATTATTCTCTTTTCCTGCCAGTCCGTATGTTGTTCCCTCAGGCTTCTCCAGCCCATGGTGGTTTGGTTGTCATGTGTATGCATGCCTGATATGGTATGCATGTATGAGTATTCTCATGTGTTTGAACGGGCATAATATGTGTGTGAGAATGTATACATGGGTACATGCATGTAAAAGCCCAAGGTTATATCGGGTGACTTCCCTCATGGTCAGATCTTTTGAATCAGGGTATCTAACTTGAACTCGGAGCTCATCAAGTTGGCTCTCCCTCACAGGTGTCAGTGACATTCGAGGATGTGGCCGTGCTCTTTACTCGGGATGAGTGGAAGAAGCTGGACCACTCTCAGAGAAGCCTGTACCGGGAGGTGATGCTGGAGAACTACAGCAACCTGGCCTCCCTGGGTAAGGGTGGTCCCTGCGGGCGTAGATTCAGAATGAGACCTTAGCACCGCCTTCCCTGAATGAAAGCTATGGCCACTGTGAAACCATAGCAGAGTTTTGCCTTAGGGTCGTACAAGGATACATAAGTATTGGCACGTTCTTCCCACAGCAGGCAGCAGAGGGGATGGCAGCGAGAACATCCCTTCCCTTGGTTCCTCACGGTCCAGGCATCTTCCCCAGCACAACCATTCTGTGCTTGTGTAGTTCATCTCTAAGCAGAGAGCTTTGTTCTGTCTCCGGAACCTCTCTTTCCCATCTGTAGCCTTTCTGACAAGCCTGCATACTTTTTCTGCAAAGGGCCGTACGGGGTGAACATTTTAGGCTCACTTGATTTCTACAACATAAGAGATTTTCTCAGTCTTCTATGGTTGCCTGGCTTTTAGTTAATAAGTTAACTTTATCTATAAGCAGGATTCCCGTTTACCAAACCAAAGGTGATCTCCCTGCTGCAGCAAGGAGAGGATCCCTGGAAGGTGGAGAAAGAAGGACCTGGAGGCTCCTCTCTGGGTGAGTGTGTGCAGACCCCAGTGTGGTGAAGAAGGAGAGGGTGCAGCATGGAGTATGGGCTGGGAAGTGTCTTCAGGTTCTCCATCCGCAAGAAGTGATGGGGGCTGGGATGGAGCTGAGCTCAGTAGTAAGAACACCTGCCTGGCACAAATAAAGCCCTAGGTTTAATTCTTAGCACAAAAACCCCAACCCAGAACAAAACAAACGAAAAACAACCCAATAAGTTAACAATGAATTAAGCAAGAGTGAGGGAGGGGAAACGGGAACTGAAATCCGCCCCGGCTCGCTTTCATTCTTCCCTGGGATCTTTTCTCTTGTTGGTTCTTTCTGAGGAGGGTTGTGTTTTCAGAGATCATTTAAGAAATGTCTATATTTAAGGGATGGTAAAGAACTCACTCAGGCTGAAGCTCAAAGCCTGTAAAGGAGAAGGAAATGAGATGGGAAGGCTACGCAAGGGTCCCAAAACAAGTGCCTCGGTGCAGTTCTGGGAGCTGTATTCTGCATGTGGACAACTGGAAGTACTTAACTGTAAACAGCAATCGTATAATCTTGGATAGTGTTGGGAACGCTGGTTCTAATCAGAAACAATCCAGAGGTCTTTGGTAACACAGCTAAAAACAAACAGACAAACAAAAATGTATGTCCTTGTTCTGGCATCCATCAAGACCTGTGATAGAGACGGTCCAGAGAGTGTCAAGGAGTGAGGCGAGCTTCAGAGCACTGTCGAGGTGTGTTACCACTAGGTTGATAGAAAATTGTGTTCTTAAAAGAACGTGTGTGTGCTCGAGTGGGGGCTCTGCACACGTGAGCAGGGTTAGGGTTAGGGGGCAGTGTGTTCTTTTGGAATGAATCTGCGTGTAATATAATCTTCACTAGCATATAATGTTTTACGTTTTTGCAAAGAGCTACCATGTTCAGGAAGTCCTGTGACACGTACTGCGGAGGATGGACTGAAAGTGAGGCACAACCAGGGAGCCCAGGGGAGCTCCTGCAAGAATGAAGGTAGAAAGCTAGCGGGGCCTAGATGAAGTCCTCTGCTTCAGGAGTCTGGAGACCCAGTCTGATGAGTTTGGGGTGGCAGTGGTTTTCATTTAGATATAGTGAAGTACTTAGATATAGATCTCTGGTAGGGAATTCTGTAAGGTTAGAACTCACAAGCAAGGTCAGAGCCCTTGAAGCCTTGAGCTACTCAGGTGGGAGTAGAATCCTGGGAAACTGTTTTCACAAGGTGGTTAAGAGAGACCTTGCGAGCCTGCCCTGAAGTGACCTGAAAGGGGTGGGGGGTGGGGGGGCAGGGGAGGTGATTGCAGTGGTGATAGAGGCTTGGGCAAACTCCCTCACTGGTGAGCCAAGACTCACACCACGGGCTTTAAATGCTGAGCAAGCTCTGTGCTAGGTGTCGCCAAGTGGCAGTAGGTGGGAGAAAGCAGGACCCTGCTCTCATGAAGCTGGGTGCAGTGAGGAGAATAAAGAACCAAGCATCCGTGGGCAGCCCTGCGGAAAAGTCCAGTGAGGACTAGAGCATGGCACAGAGCGCCCTGAGAGTGCAGGGCCAGTGCTGTGTGTAGGGTGTGTGGGGCTGAGAGCAAGGAAGGAAGAGGAATTGGGGCAGTTCTTAGCCCTTGGGTCAGTCAGTAGGCCTTGGTCTAGAAAAGACCACATGGCAGACCACCCTGTCATCTCACAGTGACCACTTCTGGGATGGCAGCCACAGTTGTCTTTTCCATCCTCACTTGTGCAGAAACTGCCAGAGGCCACCCCCCCAAAGTAAGTAGATGGGATGCCTGAGGGGAGGGAGATTAGCCTGAGCAGAAGTAGGCCTGCGGTTCAGAGCTGTCTTGGGAGAGGCTGAGATGCCTGATGGAGTGGTCACCTGCCGTCTTCAGCTCTGGGAAGAGCTGAGTGAATAACTGAGGAGTGTACCCTGGAGCTGCTTTCTGCTCTGTTCTGAGGAGGCTTTGACTGTAGCTCAGGCTGCCATTGAACTCTAGATTTCTCCTACTTCCATCCGCTGAGCACTGGGATTGTAAGTATGCTGCTCTGTTCCTCTTGAGGATTGGACATCCTTTTTTCTCTCAAAAGTGGACTTCAGGTAGGAGGCTTAGGGATGCTTCTGTGTCCATGATGTGCCTGGCAAACCACCATGTACCTGACTCCCTCTCAGCAGGAGCTCACGTCCCACAAGGGCAGTTGAAGACCAGCAAATCCGTATTTGAGGTCATGGTGCCAGACAGAACCCACTTCTGAACTTGCAAGTTATTTTTCCCTTCAAAACTAATCACAGATAAGAAAACAACAAACAGGACTCAGTTCTTCAGAGCACTGGCTGCCCTTGCAGAGAATCTGAGTTCAGTTCCCAGAACCCACATGGTGGTTCATAACCATTCATAACTGCAGTTCCAGGGCTTCTGATGCCCTCCTCTGACCTCTGTGTGCCCCAGCAACACATGCAGTGCACACGCAGACCAAACATCCTTACCTATAAAAATGAATAATGAATTTTTTTTAAAAAGCAGCAACAACAAAATGTACACGTAAAACAGCTTTTGTTGTCCCTGGGTTTATAAGTTTTAAACTGAGAGGTGAGAGGCCATGGCTCAGGGTTTCTGTGTCTTACTTGGGTCTCTTGCTTAAGAATTGACCCAAAGCCTAAGCAATAAGGTGGTGCTTTTCCTGCATAGCTATACTAAGAACCATGGGTGCATTGCACAGGTTTGGGTCACATCCAAATGTATGAACAGTCTGGAATTTTGACATTTTTGAATTCCAGAAATGTTCTAGTTATCATATCCCAGTGAGAGATCACTTCCACTGCCTTGCCATTTCCTTTGTTGTCTATAATGTCAGCTGCCATCAAGAGTGTGCTGAGCTCTGAGCGGTAGTCAGCCGGCTGCTGTCCTATCACTGAAGTCTCTGGGGTTGTGTCTGTTCAGAGGAACGGTAGCTTTTCCTGATTTTACACAAGGTTGCAGCAGTCCTAAATCTCAAACTAGTGACTTTCACCCCGCTGAGCACAATCCAGAGTCCTCAACAAAATCTTCACTCTTATCTCCTTTTGTTCTGCCTCAAGGCTTTTGTACCTGACCTTTTCTGTCTGTACCTTCTTTTTTTCTCGATGGTCAAGTGCTCTTGTGACGGCTTCCTTGTCTTTCCCAGGGTTCTGCCCCATTGTCCCTTTGTGGAACAGGCTCCACTCATCTACATCAGGGCTCCGTCCTCCATGTTCATCTCAGCGTGCTTCTACACACGCACTACATGTGCTTATGATCTGCCTCTTCCTCGGCATCTATGTGGAAGCAGCTTGTTTCATCATGTCCATTTCTAGTGCTGGCCAGAGTAGGCTTCTAGTTACATAGAAAACACAGGAACGAGTCACGCTGTGTGAATAAAATGAAACATCCCTCCCTAAATATTGAAAGACAAATGAAGCAAGTGACTAATTATGTTTGATGTTCATGGCTTAGAACATAGAGAATTTCCACAATTGTCTTTACATCAGAGCAGTTTGGTTTATTTGTGGTTTATATGTGAAGTACAAGACTACCTGCAAACAATAGTGTTGGGGGAGGTCATGAGTAATTTTGACACATTTATGGATGCAGTGATTTATGGCTGAGAATTGTTTTGGCCTTCATTTAGTGGAAGAGACATAAGGGTTCATAGTGATGCTAGGGACACCACATTAAATAAAACTCAGTAACTTAAAGCAATTAGAATTCATTGTCTCAATTCTGGAGGTTGAAAGGCCATGTTTGGCATGGCCCTGCTTCCTCTGAGACAGGGTAGAGACCTGTGTTTTCTCAGTTTGTAGTGATGGCCACAGTTCTGAGTAGATTGTAAAGAACAATACAAGACTGAATTGAGAGCTAAGACCTTGGCACTTGGGAATTGAAATGGGTACAATAGACTTGATGTAGGCCCTTGTAGCTATGATTACTTCCATTATAAGCAAAATTCCCTGTCTCCTGTTCTTATTCTCCTTGGAGTCAGGCTTTACACATGCTTTCCATTTCTTCTTGTTTTTTCACCTTTCCTTATTTCCTTAGTCCTCCAGTTCTTGTGTACTATACTCATAAAAGAATGGTTCTTAAATCCCATGCTACCTCCATCAACTGCAGTCAGAAGTTTTAGTCCTTGGGGATATGTGTGTGTTCCTGCTCATTTTGTATATCTGTACATGGGTGTCAGAAGTGAGCCTCAGATATTTCCTTCGTATGCTCCCCGTCTTCTTTTGAGGCAGTTTCTCACTGAACTTGGAACTTGCCAATGTGGCTAGAGCAGCTGACCAGCAAGTCCAGGGATCCTCCTGTCTCAATAACTCCAGCACTGGAATTACAAATCCACTGTACTCGGCTTTTTTTTTCTTTTTCTTTTCTTTTTTTTTTTTTTTTTTATTGATTCTGGGGGATTGACTAAGGTCTTCATGCTTGTATAACAAACCTTTTCCAGCTGTCTTAGTTAAGGTTACTGTTGCTGTGATGGAACACGGTGGCCAAAGCAATTCGGGGTGGGAAGGGTTTATTTGGCTTACACTTCTGCATCACAGTTCATATCAGAGGAAGTCAGGACAGGAAGTCAAGCAGGGTAGGAACCTGGAGGTGGGAGCTGATGCAGAGGCCACAAAGGAGTGCTACTCACTGGTTTGCTCCTCATGGCTAGCAGGGTGACCAGCAGGGATGGACCCTCCCCCATTAATCACTAATTAAGAAAATACCCTACAGGCTTTCCTACAACCCATTCTTATGTAAGCATTTTCTTATTTTCTTTATTGAGATTCCATCTTCTCTGATGACTTTAGCTTATGTCAAGTTGCAATAACTATCAAGCACAGCAACCAAACCCCAAGCCCAGTCTTCAGGGTATTCTCCACAACTGATTTCTTATTCCTCTCTGGCTCCCAGAACACCATCCTCTCCCAGTTTTGTTCTTATATGTTCAAAGAATCTGGTGATTTCTTTCAGTTCTTTGACTTTCAATAGAATCTGTATGTCGATGACTCCTACATGCCTATCTTCAGCTCTGACCTTTCCCCAGATCGCTAAATAATAGACAGCTATTTCGCTGCCTCCTTGCGTTTTCTTCTGAAGCCCCATAGCTGTCACAGACATGCCTGAAACAGACTCCCTAGGTCTTGGCATTTTCCCCTCCATCTTGGTAATTGGTGCCATAATTCATTTTCAGTCTGGAAACCTAGACATCTTAATTGTCCTCTTTCCTTCTTAGTATTATGTTAGTCCATTCATCTCAGTCCCAGCTACTTCATCCCTACAGATGTAGACAAAAGTTCCTTTCACTGTGGGGACGAATCCGGACCTCATCTATGAATCAATGGCATTCTAACAGATATTTAGGAACCTGTAGCACAGGAAGATGTGGCTTTAGGCAGGATTACTTGTTTGCAGTGTGGTGACTGAGCTGTCAGAGGGCAAGACTCAAAGATAGGAAACTAGTTGGAAGACCATAGTAGAGGCAATAATGCATAGGAAACAAAATGCCATCCCCCCCGGTGCCTGTCTTAGTCCCTGCTCTATTGCTTTGAAGAGATACCATACCACGGCAGCTCTCATAAAGGAAAACATTTAGTTAGGGCTGCTTTACAGTTTCAGAGGCTTAGGCTATTATTGTCACGGCAAGCAGTTAGACTTGGTGGCAGAACAGTAGCTGAGAGTTCTATGTTCTGATCCATAGACAGCAGGAAGAGAGACAAATGCATGCATACATGCAGACAAACAGCCTAGCATGGGCTTTTGAAACCTCAAAGCCCACTCCTAGTGACACACTTCCTCCAAAAGACCACACCTCCTAATCCTCTCAAACAGTTCCACTCCCTGGTGACTAAACATTCAAATGTATGAGCCTATGGGGGCATTCTTACTCACACCACCCTGCTTTATCAGCGGGGAAGATACACTACAGTGTTGTACTGCTGTGCTCAGAACTCTAGTAAACGAGGCTCAGAACTACAGCCTTTCTTCACAAGAAGGCCCAAGGCAGTGTGTTAGACTTTCCATTGCTCTGACAACTACTAGAGAGAAACCATTTTCATTTAAAAGGGGAAAGAATTATTTTGTCTCACGACTTTAGAGATTTTAATCCATGACTACTTGGCTACCTTGCTTCTGAGCCTGTGGTGAGGCAGAGCATCATGTGGGTGATGCATGAACATGGCAGTCCAGAAGTTGGGGGAGAATAGGGACAAGTTATACAAAATAATCCCCTAGTGACCCATTCCTCCAACAAGGCCCCACTTCCTGACTTCCATCACCTTTCTGTAGTCCCACTGGGTTAGGAATCCACTGATGATCCAGTTACTACCCTAAGCCAGTCAACTAGTAGTGAGGCTTTTAATACATGAGCCTTTAGTTGACACTTCAGACTCAAACCATAACACCTCTCTTGCTTGATGCATGGATGAGGCTCCCTTTTCAATTTAACAGTTCTTGACCTTGTGGCTTCTCTATAGAATTAATTTAATGTCTTATGTGTAAACTGGTTCAGAAATCTCAATCATCTGTGTTCTGTTTGGGAAGACAGGTGCTATGAGGGCTTATGACTAATATATATGAAATTCATGTTTAATCAAGACTGTTTGACATTCTTCAAATTGTGTAGGTATAAGTAAAAAAGATTTACTAAACAAGCCAGATGTGGTAGCACATGCCTATAATCTCAGCACATGGAAGGCAGAGGCAAAAGGATTGCTACAAGTTTGAAGCTAGCCTAATTTACCAACATGGGCTGTATAGTAAGACTCCATCTCAAAACAAAACAGACACACATACGCCGTCAAGAAGGTTGTGAGAGACAGAACATGCTGATCTCGTTGTTTTGTGTAGAGAGATACAGAAGTGGTCATGTAATGTCAGCACTCAAGAGACTAAAGCAAGGAGCCATGAGTTCAAGGACACCAGGGCTACAGATTGAGATTATGTCTCAGGGATCTGGCTGGAGGAATAAACTGTGGATATTCTGAGTTAAGAAAGGATTCTCACAATAAACTTTTGAACAGAATCTGAAAGATATTGTTGGCAGGAAACAAAAGAGGGCACATTTAGCAGAGAACAATGTAGGTGACTATCATTTGCTCTCAAATTCTGACAGTGCATTTTCCGGTTCTTTTTCCCATTTAATCACCCTCTTGAAGTGTGTTTGCTTTATTCTTTTTCTTCACTCTACTACTGTTCCCATCAATCATGTTTCTCTACTAACTCTTCTATTCCACCCTCAATATTATTAACCGCATGCCAAGACTACTTAAATAACATTAGTACCTATTCAATCTACATATCTTGTCTCAGTAGTCAAATTTTATATTACAAAAAACATCTTTGGTTTCTTTTTTCCCTTTCTAGAATTGAAGCACTGTCATAGAACCACCAAGTCAACTCAAACACAAGACTCTTCATTTCAGGAACTGATTCTGAAAACATCTAAAAGAAATGAAACTTTGAACTTGAAGTCAGAAAATCCTTTCATATATGAAGGGAAATTAGAGGAAAAGCAGGATAAGAATGCTTTGACTATAGAAAGAAGCCGAAAAAACAATGAATTTAGTCCAAAGTCACATGGAGAAAAAAAGTCACCAGAATGTGAAAAACAAGACACTTTCAAGCAAATAGCATCATGTATATCTAATCACCCAACAACCACACCAGATAAACGCTATAAATGTAGTATGTGTGAGAAAACTTTCATCAACACCTCATCTCTTCGTAAACATGAGAAAAACCACAGTGGAGAGAAATTATTTAAATGTAAAGAATGCTCAAAAGCCTTTAGCCAAAGTTCAGCCCTTATCCAACATCAAATAACTCATACTGGAGAGAAGCCTTATGTATGTAAAGAATGTGGTAAAGCCTTCACTCTCAGTACATCCCTTTATAAACACCTAAGAACCCACACTGTAGAGAAATCCTACAGGTGTAAGGAATGTGGTAAATCCTTTGGTCGAAGGTCAGGTCTTTTTATACACCAGAAAGTCCATGCTGGAGATAACCCTTTTAAATATAATCCAGGTAGGAAGTCATCTAGCACATCCCTTCCTGGGCAGAGAATCCATTCCAGAAAGAAGACCTACTTGTGTAACGAGTGTGGCAACACCTTTAAGTCTAGCTCATCCCTTCGCTATCACCAGAGAATCCACACCGGAGAGAAACCTTTCAAATGTAGCGAATGTGGCAGAGCCTTCAGTCAGAGCGCTTCACTTATTCAACATGAAAGAATTCACACTGGAGAAAGGCCCTACAGGTGTAATGAATGCGGAAAAGGCTTCACTTCTATCTCAAGACTCAACAGACACCGAATAATTCACACTGGGGAGAAGTTTTATAATTGTAATGAATGTGGCAAAGCCTTAAGTTCCCATTCAACTCTTATTATTCATGAGAGAATTCACACTGGAGAGAAACCATGTAAATGTAAAGTCTGTGGGAAAGCCTTCAGACAGAGTTCAGCTCTGATCCAGCATCAGAGAATGCACACTGGAGAGAGACCTTATAAATGTAATGAGTGTGGGAAGACATTCAGGTGCAATTCATCCCTCAGTAACCATCAGCGAATTCATACTGGGGAGAAGCCGTACCGATGCCAGGAATGTGGGATGTCATTTGGTCAAAGTTCAGCTCTTATTCAGCACCGAAGGATTCATACTGGTGAGAAACCCTTTAAGTGCAACACATGTGGGAAAACCTTTAGGCAGAGCTCTTCACGTATTGCACATCAGCGAATCCATACAGGAGAGAAACCCTATGAATGTAACACATGTGGGAAACTTTTCAACCATAGGTCATCCCTTACCAATCATTATAAAATTCATGTGGATGAGGACTCTTAAAGTAAATTTGCAAATGTAAAAAGCCTTAAACCAAAGCTCTTCAGAGAATACGTGCTTGAGAGATATAATAAAAATAATGAATATGGGAGAAAATCCACAATCAACTAAATGCCGTGGATAAATTTTGTGTAACAGGAGGAAAGTATTCAGACCTGTTCAACACTTTAAAAAAAATTGTTTGAGAGCCATGCATAGTGGTTCATTCATGTGGTCGTAGCTACTGAGGACCCTGAAGTATGAGGATTGCTTGAGTCTATGAGTTTGAAGCAGCCTGAGGAAACCTAGGAAGATCCCATCTCAAAAAAAAAAAAAAAGTCATCTGTGATGAAGGCCCTGACTTCAGGCGTTTGTAAAATGGTGCTTTTCTCTCTGCAGCACTGTGTGCTTGATGTAATTGTAATCACAGGCATCTAGTGCGCAGAAGGGTGTGCTGCACTTCTTATTAGCAAAACACTAAACCCTTATACTGGTGATATTTTTATAACATTTTAATAATATCCAAGTGATCAAAGAAGTTACACATTTTTTAAAAGGGGCCAAAATAAAAGATTAAAATGGACTATAATCTACCTCTTAGTCTCTGGAGTTTATCATTTTCTATATCTGATTTCAAATGTTGTGTGTGAATTTTATTAAAAGTGAAAAATTACAAAGCTGGTCTGTTGGTATTACTGTGATTTGGAGCTATTCTACCTAGTTATTCTTTTCCTAGAGTGTTTTTGTTGCTGCTGCTTTGATTGCTTTAAAGTCATTTGTAACTAAGATCTGTTGTCCTGTGTGCTGTTATCTAAGTGTACTAAATATGAGAATGGGCAGTTAGAGGGAACTGAAGAAATGGCTCAGTGGTTAAAAGAATGTTTTTCAGTTTCAAAGGACAGAGGTTCAGTTCCCAGTACTCATGTCAAGTGGCTCACAAGTACTGTCTGTCTCTGGCTCCAGGGAGCTCTGACGTCTCCAGTTTCACATGTGCATATTCACACATAAACACGTAATTTTAAAATCTTTTCAAGATAAAGTGGCAAAGAAAATTCAAAGTTTACGTTTTTTTCATACAAAACCATATCAAAGGACATTTGGCAAATGTAATACCTGTAAGAAATACTGAAGACTGCTGTTATTTAGAGATGATGGCCTTTCAATTCTGGAATCAAGAAATGGGACTTTTCAAAAGATTACTAAACCATGTGAGTTAGCCCCTCTTCAATGGGATTAGTGTTCTGGTGAAATACTGAACACTTGCTGTTTTTCTGCTATCTTTCAGACACCACAAGATGATGCCTCTGAAAGATATGATCATTTTCACCAGGCAGCAAAGTATCAGCCCTTAAAAGTTGCATTAATATGATGGTTCATCTTTATTAATTTCACTGGATTTAGAACCACCTAGAAGGCACACCTCTGGTCATGACTGAGGGTATTTTCAGAGGTTTAGCTGTGGGGCAAAGAATCACCCTAAATATGAGTGGGATCGTCCCATGGACTAGATTTTGGACTGGAAAAGGAATAGCAAGCTGATTACAAGAATATTTCAGTTTCCAGATCCACTAAGAGCAAGAAACCTTACACTCATACGACCACAGTCTGCTACCACTATGCCTTCCTTGCCTAGTGTGATCTATGCCTGTGTTACATATAACTATAGTGACTAATAATTATTTATAATTGGGGGTGGTGAGACAGGGTTTCTCTGTGTAGTCCTAGCTGTCTGGAACTTACTCTATACACCAGGCTGGCCTCAAGCTCAGAGATTTGCTCGTCTCTGCCTCCTGAGTGCTGGTGTTGAAGGTGTATGCTGCCACTACCCAACCTATATAACTTTAAGTTAAAAATTCCTCATTTTCAGTAGTCACAGATCCTCCACTGAGAAAAGTTGTGTTGCATATTGCTGGTCCTGACCCAGAAATTCTGTGATGTGAAGATTCTCTGCAAAATACTCTAAGGACATCAGGAGACAACCACTCGGATCAGACAGCACATCACAGTGCTGGGAATGAACAGCACTTGGAAATAAAATTTGGAATCAACTGAGATGATCCACATCTCTTCCTGCTGATGGCTGGGTTTGGAAGGAACTCAGAACCACATAAAGGCTAAGGATTAGGGAGGGTTTACAACTTCCTGGGTAAGTTGAGGTCTGCTATTTTATAACATTTAATGTTGCTTTAACAGAAAATCTCTGACTAGGTAGTTCAAAATGAGTTGCAACACAGTCCATTGCTCTCTCGCCCCCGTCCCCCCTCCCCTGGCAGCAGAGCAGCCCTTGTTAGTGGCAGCAGCAGTGGCGGCTCCATGGCTCAGGCCAGGCCTTTGAGCATAGCAGCGGTACCAGCCTAGTTTTTAAAAGCAGTTGTTGCTCTCCTGAGAACTTGGATTAGATTCCTGGTTCACAACACTCTGTAGCTCCAGTTCTAGGGAATTCCACACTCTCATCTGGCTTCTGATGACACCAAGCATGCACATGGTACAAAAACAGACTTGCACACAAAATACCTATACCCATAGAATAAATTACTCATAAAAAGGGAAAAGGCTTTCCAGGACAGGCTCCAAAACCACATAGAAACCTTGTCTCGAAAAATCAAAAAAAAAAAAAAGGGGGAAAAGGCAGGTGTCTCTGTCTGTGTTGCCTGCTAATAGGACCCATAGGTTCTAGCAGATTGTTTCATCCAGCTCTACTGAAGAGAAGGCGCTTAGTCTCACTGCAGCTTGATAGGCCATGATATCACAGGATGCCTGACTGTATCAGAAGAGAAACAGTAGAGGAAGGGTGTATGGGGTGATGGGAGAATGGAAGGGGTGAGGAACTGTGAAGAGGGGAGTGTAAACTTTGGAATGAAAAACAAGAATAAATAAATAACCACTACAAGAGTAAAAAAAAAAAAAAACAGAAGAATATAGTCAGTTGTCAAGGTTTCTGTCCTGCCCGGATCCCACAATCGTTAAGTCCCAAAAAAATCACACAGAGGTCTACATTAGTTATAAACTGATTGGCCCATTAGCTCAGGCTTCTTATCAACTCTTATAACTTATATTAGCCCATTATTCTTGTCTATGCTAGCCACGTGGCTCAGTATCTTGTTCAGTGAGGCAGTCACATCTTGCTTTTTCTGTGGCTGGATCAGGACTGCAGAATCAGCTTTCCTCATTCCAGAATTCTCCTGTTCTCATCGACCCACCTCTGTTTCCTGCCTGGCTGTCCCACCTATACTTCCTGCCTGGCTACTGGCCAATCAGCATTTATTTAAAATATAATTGACAGGATACAGACCATTATTCCACAGCAGTCAGTGGTCATTTCAAACATGCTTTTAAGTTTTGAAGTGTGAATCTAATTAGTCTTAATCAATAAAAACCCAGAGTCAGATATTAGATTAAAAAATGAAAGATCAGAGAAGCAGAGTAGCAACCATAGTCCCTTCTTACCTCTACAAAATCGAATCCTAGACCAAATGGGAGCAATCCTATCTCTACAAATCCTCAGACCAAAAGGGGGTGATCCTATCTCTATAAACCCTCAGACTGAATGGGGGAGATCCTGTCTCTATGAATCCTCAGAATGAATAGGGGATCCAGTCTCTATCCACCTTATATTCCTGTCTCCACCTTCCTAGTGCTGGGATTAAAGGTGTGAGCCTCCCATGTGCTGGAATCAAAGCCATAAGATCCCAAGTCCTGGGATCAAAGGTGTTACCCACCTCAACCCAGCTCTAATTCTAGACTGGTTCAATCTCCTGTATCCCAGAGTGACCTAGAACTCCTGATCTTCCAGCTTCTTCCTCTAAGTGCTGGTATTAAAGGTGTGTGCCACAATTGCCTGACCTCTGTGGTTAACTAGTGGCTAGCTCCATGCTCTGTTCTCCAGGCAAGCGCTACTTCTCAAGAACACAAACAAAATATCATGCAACAGTTTTCACTGTCAGTTCTTGGATGATGTAACACAAGCACAGAGTGCATTCTTGTTGCTCCCCTTCCACCCTTTCTCACCTCCTAACTGGGTGAACTACCCCACTACTCCTGACTGGTCCCTTTCTCAGACTTCAGACTAGTTTTGTTGTGTGTGTCACTAAATTTCATTAGCTCCAAGTTATGGTTGAATTCTTCTATGTGCTGACGTCCAGTTAGATCAGCACCATTTGCTGAAGATTATGACGTTTTTCCAGTATGGATTTATGGCTTCTTTATAAAAATTCAGGTGTCCAGAGGTATGTGTACTTATGTATGAATCTGCAATTGGTTCCATTGATCAATACATCAATTTTGTGCTAATTTCATATTTTTTTATTACTAGAGTCTGTAGTCCAAATTGAAATCAGGGCCGGAGATACTTCCAGCAGTTCTTTTATGTTCAGGATTGTTTTAGTTATCCTGGGTTTTTATTTTTTAATATGAAATAGAGGATTGTCAGCCGGGCGGTAGTGGCACACAACTTTAATCCCAGCACTTGGGAGGCAGAGGAAGGCAGATCTCTGTGAGTTCGAGACCAGCCTGGTCTACAAGGGCTAGTTCCAGGATAGGCTACAAAACCACAGAGAAACCCTGTCTTGAAAAAAACAAACAAACAAGCAAAATAGAGGATTGTCCTTGCATGGGCTTTAAAGAACTGTGTTGAAATTTTTATATGGGGATCACACCAAATCTGTAAATTTGCTTTTGGTAGTATGGCCATTTTTACAGTCTTAATCCAAGTGAGCATGGGGGGGAGGGGGATCTTCCCAACTTCTGATATCTTCTTCAATATCTTTCATCAAAAACGTAAACATTTTGTAATATGTACCTTTCACTTGCTTGGTTCGAGTGGCCCTGAGATATTTTGTATTGTTTAAGACTACCGTGAAAGGTGTTGTTTCCAGGATTACTTTCTCAGTCTCTTTGTCCTTTGTATGTAAGATGCTGATTTTTTTTTTGAGTTAATCTTGAATCCAGCCCCTTTGCTGATAGTGTTTATGAGCTGTAGGAGTTCTCAGATGGAATTTTTAGGATGACCTATACATATGAACTGTCATCTACAAAGGATGATTCTTTGACTTCTATCTTTCCGGGTTGTATCCACTTGATCTCCAGGCAAAACTTCCAGTACTATATTAAATAGATATGGAGAGTGTGGACATTCTTGTCTTGTTCCTCATTTTAGTGGAATAGATTAGAGTTTCTCTCCATTATAGTTGCATAGTAGACTTGCTGAAATTGCCTTTATTTTGTTTAGGTGTGTCCTTTCTATCCCTGATTCTACAAGACTCTTCTCCTAAGAGGATGTTAGATGTCATCAGAGGCATTTTCTGTCTTTTGCTATTGAGATGATCATGTTGTTTTCCCTTCGATTATTTATGGGGTGAATATCATTTACTGGTATTTGTATGTTGAATCGACCCTGCACCTCTGGGATGAAGCCTATCTAATAATGGCAGACAATCTTTTTGCTGTGTTCTTGGAAATGGTGGTCAAGTATTTTATTGAGTGTTTTTGCAGCCATGTTCATAAGTGAAATTGCTCTGGAATTTTTTGAGCCATTGTCTAGTTTGAAATAGGGTAACTGTGGCTCAAAAAATGAGTTGAGCAATGTTCCTTCTGTTTCTATGTCTGGAATCATTTGAAAGTATTGGTATTAATTCCTATTTGAAAGTTAGGAAAATTTCTGTGCTAAATCTATCTGGCCATTGGCTTTTTGTGGGGTGGGGGAATCTTTTAATGGATGCTTCAGTTTCACTAGGGTTATAGATTTATCTAGTAAGTGGTACATATTGAGAAAGTTGTGCATTTCATTTAGATTTTCAATTTTGGTGGAGTACAGGTTTATAATGTGTCTCCTTGCGATCCTCTGGATTTCTTTGGGTGTCCCATGTTTATTGCTCTTTTCCTTTCTGATTTTGTTAATTTGGATATTCTCTCTCTGCCTATTAGTTATTATGGCTAAGGGTTTGTCTATTTTGTTGACTTTCCCAAAGAACCAAGTATTTTTTCATTGATTCTTTGTATTTGTCTCTATTTATATTTTATTGATTTTAGCATTCTGTTTGTTTGTTTTGGGAACACAGTTTTGGCTCTACATATATAAGCAAAATGGTTCTTCATGGATCCTTCCCTGTTTCTTGGCTTTCTAAGTGTACATCAAGGTTTTGAAATAATGTGCTGCTCTCTGTTCAGAAATAAGTACATATAATTTAAAAGCTGTTTGTAGCCGGGCGGTGGTGGCGCACGCCTTTAATCCCAGCACTCGGGAGGCAGAGGCAGGCGGATCACTGTGAGTTCGAGACCAGCCTGGTCTACATGAGCTAGTTCCAGGAGAGGCTCCAAAACCACAGAGAAACCCTGTCTCGAAAAACCAAAAAAAAAAAAAAAAAGCTGTTTGTATGCACCAGGAGTCTCTGTCTCTGAGCTGTGATTGGATTAAGTGATCAGCCTCTTGCAACTTTTGAGAACAGTCGAGTCTTCAATCCTGATCTACAGGTGCTGGATCATTGTCACCCAACCGGAAACTGGTTGTGAAGTTTATCAGGGAAACCACCTCTCTTTCAACCCTTTCACTCCATGCGGTTCCCCACCCCAGCTGTCCACTGCCAGGCCTCACTCCTCCGATGATTATTGATTAGGGGCAACCTTACAAACGACTCTTAGTTTCAAAATAACTGGCTAAAAACATCCTGTAGGTCACAATTTTCCCATCAAATTCAAGATGAAATGAGAATATTAGGGAAACGGTTTAAAGTATTTAATCAACAAGCCATGGTGACCCACACTTTAATTCCAGAGCTGGAGACTGGTAGCAAAAGCAGGACCTGTTGCATCTAAATAGTGAATTCCAGTATGGCCAGAATTATGTAGATATACAGGCTCAAAAATGATATTTGAATGTTGGACCTTGTTTTTAAATAGTGCATTGGATGTTTTCTCTTGAGCCTGTATCTTGCTGAGAAGCCCAAGAGTTCCAGAAATCTGGGAAATGCTCCAGTCTCAGCCTCCTGAGAGGGGATTAAAGGCTCCTGGTTAAGCTCTCCTGCTCCACCCTCCACACCCAGGTAGGTGGGTCTGATTCACTCCCATCCAAGAGCTTTATAAAGGCCCAGATCTCCACTTGGCTCTCAGACTCCAGAAGCCTGGAGAAGTACACACAGCTCTACCTCCACACTGCAGACTCTGCAGCACCAGGACACAGAGAACCCAGCTTCCAAGACTCTGTGAAGCACAACAAATCTCTCTGGTGAAAATGTAGGTGATTTGGGGATTGGGGGAGTCCACTCTTGTGTTTTCTGGAGGATGGCTGGTGTATTTCTTTTTCAATTTTTCTCATAAATTTTACAGCCCAAAAGTGTGTCTCTGACATCTGTCTCCTTTCCATGTGTATAGGAAATCACTGGTAGTCATAGCAAACCTCATGGACAGTGGTGGTACTGTGTGTTATACTGAGGAAACAGGGCAAAACATGGTTAACTATCTTGAACATGATCTCATGTCCACAGTTTGCAGAGGTACAGACTTCTGCACCCTTCTTCTTGGGCTTTCTGGGTCTTTCTTGGCTAACACAGCATCTCAATGTTTCCAAGGCTAGCCCAAACCCTACTATACTTCCAAGAATGATCCTGGACTTCTGAACCAAACTTTGGTTATAGAAGACCTGAGATTATAGACTAATGCAAGCACCCTTGAGATATAGATTTTGCTGCATGGAAACAGTTTTAATATTTTCTTTATTTATTTCTGAGCAGATGGAACCAGACCAAGAGGAACAATTGAGAAACACCGAAGAATTGAATGTGGAAGAGAGTGGGAAGCAGGAAGGACGAAGGCCCTCAGGTATTCAGAGGCAACCCCAAGTTAAAAACCAAAATCTTCTATCCTATTTCTTTCCTGGAGACTCACAGGCTTAAAGAAGACCTCAGCTGTGGACAGCTGTGTCAAGGACTGGCTTGTCTTCAGTGGTCCCAGGTTTCTGCCCTTCTTGCAAGAGACTCAAAGTCTCAGAGTTCTGTGAGAGTCTCCTGGGGGAGGGGGGTTAGGTGGGTTGAGTCTATGCAGGAACAATGTTAACAGGCAGCGCTTATCCCGTGTGAGCCCTTTCCATTCTGAAATGTGTTTTCTACAACAGAAGGAACCCACCTACACATGCAAGTCATTGTACACCTTAGTATGAAGAGCAGGGTAGTCAGTAATTTGGGCATGTGAGCAAGTGTTCCTAATCTCTTGAGAACTGAACAAGGACACTTCTGGCTTCTGTCAGAGTTCATGAAGGGTCCCTGGAAAAGCTGAGATGAGCCTGCTCGAAGCGTCAACGGCACTCATCACATCCCTCCTTCCCTTGCAGGTTCTTCCTGTCACCCATGGACTGACTCTGAAATCAGGATCTTCCTGGAGGAGTGGGAAGTAGTTGAGCGCAGAGTGGGAAACCCAGGCAGGAAGATCTCAGAGACGATCCAGGCTCTTTGCCTGCAACTCAATGAACGGAGAGGCCTAAAAAAGAGCTGGGAAAGCTGTGTAGACCTGTTACTGACCCTGCAGAATCTGCACAGGTCACTCTGTAGTGGCAGACCAGAGGCTGTCCCCTTGTTTTCTCCGTATTCCGAGGCCCTGTACAGGATCCTGGGCCGACCCCCAGGTTAGTCTCTTCGGTATTCCTCTGTCAAGCCCTCTAGAGAGCAGCATCAGCTGGCCTGCCCTTGATGAATAGAGCAGAGCACAACAAGTAGGAATCCTCATTCCCACGGCCCATTATTGCACACAGCAAACACAATGTCTGTCCTCTCTGTCTTCCTTCCTCTGCCATCCCAGGGGAATTGAAGTTGGGCATGTTCAAGGTGGATCGGTACACACGGGACAGATCATAACTTAGTATGAACCAGGGACAGTAAGGGTGACATTCTTATGAAGTCTCTCCAAGAGCAAATGTTTCTAACCTCCTGAGAAATGAATGCCCTCTGTCAGTGTGCACAATGGCTCCCTAGAAGAGCTGACATGTACCTGCGCATGGCGTCAAAGGCACTCATTACCTCCCTCCATCCCTTGCAGGTTCTTCCTGTAGCCCATGGACTGACTCTGAAATCAGGATCTTCCTGCAGGAGTGGGAAGGAGTTGAATGGAGAGTGGGAAACCCATGCAGGAAGATCCTGGAGAAGAGCTGGGCAATTCACCAGCAAATCAATGAGAGGAGGGGCCTGAAGAAGAGCTGGGAGAGTTGTGTGGACCTGTTGCTGACCCTGCAGAATCTGCACAGGATACTCTGTAATGAGAGACTAGAGGCCATTCCCTTGTTTTCTCCTTACTCCAAGGCCCTGTATAGGATCCTGGGCCAACCACCAGGTTAGTCTCTTCTGTATTCCTCTGTCAAGTCCTCTAGAGAGCAGCATAAGCTGCCCTGCCCTTCATGAGCATAGAGCAGAGAAAAACAGGTATAAATCCCCATTCCCACAGCCCATTGTTGTGCATAGAAAACCAGAACGTCTTTCCTCTATGTCATCCCAGAAGAATGTAAATCGGACATGTTCCAGGTGGACCAGAACATAGAGCAGATCATGGTTCAGTATGATTGAGGGAGAGTGAGGGTGCCATGCTTATGAACTCTCTTTGTTTCTTCTCCCTTCCAGGTCCTTACTGCCGAGATGGGTCTGGTATATGCCTGCCTGCCAAGAACTGTCAACCTTCCGTGAATCAGCCTTTAAATTGTGGTACCACTGTTTCTTTTACACAGCTTCAGGGGAACCCATTGTTTATGAGGTCTTCGAAGAATTCCGTTTCCCAGAGGGGACCCCCTGAAGCACAGCCATCCTTCGTCATTTCCACACCTACCTCCTGCCTGTGATCCAGGAGACCCCCATGTCAGGCAGTAACCTTGGTCTAACGCTGATTAGCACCCAGATCCTCAGTGAAGACAAGTGGAGTTTCTTGTTTCTCCTCTGAAAGCCTCAGGACCATGCAGCATTGAGGGCGTAGGCTTCTTTCTCTACCTCATAAGACAATGGGAAAATCAATAAAGGTCACTGTAGTAAAACACTCCTTCCTTGTCCTTGTTCTTCAGTGGGGTCTACAAGTAAAGAGGGGCTAAGGATTGTCACTTGAGGTTCCTCTTCTGGTGCCTTGGGACCTGCCCTCTCCCATCTATCCACACCTGGCTCCTGGTATAAAGTCTCTGTCCTCATTCCCACGGCCCATTATTGTTTCTGCCTTTCTTGTCTGCGGGGTTAGAGAGTGGAGACGTTAGGCGAGACACACGGCGGTGCGAGGTTAGGAAGGAGACACGGACACACGGCGGTCCCATGTGGGTGCACTTTAATGGGGGTGGGGTAACAACAAGTAAGGGACGGGTGTGCAGAGACGAAAGGAGAGAGGGAAGAGAGAGAGAGAGAGAGAGAGAGAGAGAGAGAGAGAGGGGCTCGTGGCAACCCCCCCCCCGGCTTTTAACGGGGATGGCAAGGGCGTCTGGGAGAAATGTCCTGCGCGTGCATTATCTGTAGTCCAGGGGGGTGTTGGGAGCTGTAGTTTCCAAAAGGAACAACATTTCACCCTTTTTGATTTTATTAAAAAAAATTGTGGGGTGTCTTAAAGGGTAGGGAATGGGTGTGTAGCCCGGTCTCTCATGACTGCTTCCTCCTGGCTTTGAGCATCGAGGGATCCAGTGAGTGCCCTATTATTCTGGCGATGTCCTCTTGGTTATGTCCTGTCCGCTGGCGTTTTGTGGCCGTGGCTGATTGAAGAAATTGCATCTTTCTGGCTTTTTCTGAGTAGCTGGGTCATCGTTAAGATGCTGGAAGACAAAAGTCGCATTAGTAGAAAAAAAATTAAAGGGGAGAGGAGGTTTGGAAAATTAAAGGGGAGATTTGGGGTGGGGGAGTCTTAGGAGGTCTGGGGTTAAGAATGATAAAAAATTAAATGATACTTATTACGTTAATGATCTGCTTGTGTTTGATTTGTTTAGGTGGGTCGGGCTGGCGTCCTGGAGCTTAAAGAAAGTGTCTTAAAAGAAAACAGATTTTAACCATATATTCCTTAACATTTCAGGGGTCACTGCTGCAGTCAGCGACTGACCTGTTATGTCAAGGAACTTTGTTAAGAATCTGCTTACCGCCTGAGCCCTTGACTCCGTATTTGATGATGGTATCTGTAACGACAGCTGGATGGTTATTTATGAATTTAAAGAAGGGAGGGTGTGTTAACACAGGAGGATTAAGTGGCGGATGGAACCACTGTTTTCCTTAGACTGGAGTAGAGGGGGCTGAACCTGGTGTCCTTTGGACTTAAGAGAACAAGGTCCTGTCTGAGTTACCGTGTATGAAGGATTATCTTGAGCCATGGAGATGAACGGTTTAAGATGTGACAGGTGAATCCAATGAGGAATTCCTTCAAGCTTGGCAGCCAGTCAAGGTGGAGTTCCTGTGACATCTTAACGAGAGCTTCGTTTAAAGAGCGGTTAGTCCGTTCTACCTTACCTGAAGATTGAGGGTGGTACGGTATGTAGAAGTTCCAGGGGATTTCAAGTGCTTTGGACAGATTTTGAGAAATCTGGGAAGTAAACGATGGGCCGTTACTTTTTGGCAGATCTGGCAGGAGGCTGCTGTAGCTTTTCGGAACCTGATATCCTTAGGTGTGGGTGTTTTAAGCGAATAACAATGGGAGAGTGGTGATTAGTGACTGCGGGAGCCTAGAGGGGCTTTGGAAGATAGAAGGGGCGGAGTAGGGAGGGGAGGAGACGCTTTCAGCTGCCTGTGTGACCTGTGGTTGGGAGAAACTTCCAGCTGCTTGCGTGACCTGTTGGATGAATATTTATATCCTCTTATTTCATGGATCCTGCATGATCTTTGAGAAGAAATCAATCCTGATGGATTAAACCCACACACCTTTAATCCCAGCATTCAGGAGGCAGAAGCAGGAGGATCTTTGTGAGTTCATTGCCAGCCTGGTCTACAGTGCTAGTTCTAGGAGAGGCTCCAGAGTTACAGCAAAAATCATGTCTCAGAAAAAAAAGAACAAAAAAAAAAAAGAAAAGAAAAGAAAAGAAAAATAAGGAAATCCAAGTAGACCACATGTGCCCAAATCTTCAAGCTTTGACAGTCTATGCATACAGAGTTTCCTGTCTAATTTTTATCCTATTTTGGAGTTTTGGTTTTCCTATTTATTGGGAAAGGTGGGTCAGAGACTGGAATGTGTACTTTCTGTTTTCCGTAATTACAGATGAACTCCAGTAGCACTGAGTCCCCAGTAGAGACCGCAGAGGTCCCCAGAGTCTGCTTAGTCAGTGTCTTTCCACCCCCATACGTCATCAGGTTCACTCAGTGGTGCATTGTACTGGAAACCCGAAGGCCAGGATTAGATTTAAATACCATCTCTTGTTAGAGGAGAAAAAGGCTGGAAAGTGTTGTGGAATAATATTTTGACTATGGAAAGATGTGTTGCATTTGTTTATGCCACAGGCTATCACTTTAACTGTGTGAAGCTGTGTTGCTGTTGTTTATGCTGAATTTAATTAAGAAAAGATGTGTTGCATCTGGTCCACCTTGCCTGCCCAAGGCACCTGATTGGCCTAATAAAAATCTGTGTGGCCATAGGTAGTCAGAGAAAAGATAGGTGGGGCTGGCAGGCAGAGAGAATAAGTAGGAGGAGAACTCTAGGCTCCAGGAGAAGAAGAGAAAGGAGAAGGGAGAGAGGAGAAAGAAGGGGACATGCCTTGAGCAAGAAGCCAGGCAGCCACCAGACAGCCAGACATGAGAACCAATGAAGGTCAGATATATGGAAGGAAAGAAAATTGAAAAGCCTGAAAAATAAAGAAAAATAAAAAGGTAGATGAAGAGAAACAGGTTAATTTAGGCTGAAAGAGCTAGCCAGAAATGAGATTAAGGTAGGCTGAGCATTCATAGCTAATGAGAAGTCTCCATGTCATGATTTAGAAACTGGTTAGTGGCCTAAAAGAAAAAGCCTAATAAAGGATAATTAGCAAAATGTGTGTCTAGCAGGTTTCAATACAGTATATGATGGGTAGCCGAGACTCTGCCTGGTTCCATGTGTAGTCAAGTTAGCAGTATAAACACAGTCAACAAAATAAATGCATACAATATATGAATACCAAGAACAACAATGAAATACCTATTTCTTGGATACTCTGGGATAGTTTTATCTATGTCAGTGAGTAATAAGGAGTTGACGGTACAGTAGACTTTCTATCTCCTACAGTCTCCTTCCATCCTACTCTCCCCCTTCTCCTCCACCCCTAGAGAAAGATACCTGCATCTGCAACCCTGTACAACTCTAATGGTTTGAAAGAGATAAAAAAGGAATCCCTATTTGTCTTTCCTGAGGATGAGTTGCCAACTGTGACTTAGCACAGCGGCCAGATGCTGGGATCCTCTGGGACAAAGGCAGGAGAAGGCTTGGACTGTGAAAGGATGGTGGGTTTCAGAGTGCTCATCTGGGATCCAGGGAATCCTCCCTGACACCACAGATGATGGGATTTGCTGTAGCTCTGCAGAAGGAGCAGGGATGCCATAACTCCAAGGTTGCTACATAGAAGAGGGCAAAACCATCAGAAGTTGAGTGTTCATAGAAAGCAGAGGTCGTCAACTCCCTCACAGAGAGGACCTGCCAATCACAGACACAGCGAGATCATAATCATGGTGCCCTCTGCTCTGCCTGAATCCAGCTACCAACTGTCCTTCCTGTGTGTCCACTGTGAACAAGTCCAAAACCAACCCCCTTGGGGCAAGAGGACACACTTTGAAAATCACTGCTACTTCAGCACAGGGTTCTGGTACTGAGATGTTTATTCTAGAGAACTGGAGATTTGCTCCACGTCCTCTATTCCCATCAGTAATCTAGTTTCTCTGGTCATTATCACCATCTTCCTCTTCATTATTTAGAATTTCCTCTACCCCAAGTCTGCTACCGCTTTTTGTTCTAATTTCTTCCCTCATCTTCATCCCCCAACAGAAGAGGTAGGCCTTGTATTGAAAGCACGTGGCTTGTGCCCGACTGCAGGCCCCAACATTCCTATCCACCAGGTGCCCTTACCTCTTTCTTTTTCCTTTCTCACGTAGTCAAGAGAGCGACCACAGCCCACATCTCCAAGTATTGTGGATTAGTTACAATTTGACAGAGTGATTATTAGGTTAACTTGAGAGTTTAAAAATTTCCATCTTAGTTGCTCTTTGAAATAGTACCTATTTGAAGGGATTTACCACATCTGGAAAAATCAACGAATTAGGATAAATCTTTGAGATTTTTGGTTTTTAAAATGGCTACAGGCTCTAAAGCATTTTGATTTTGGAAAATCATCAGTCTTTAAATTCCTGGGATGGAATTACAAACTATTGTTTATCTTGTTTGATCCAGACGGCACACCCACGTAGGGCGGGTCTGATTCAATCCCACAAGTCCTTTATAAGGAGACGGATCCCCACATGGTCTCAGACTTCAGAAGCCACAGAAGTGAGTGCAGCTCTCCTCTCCACACTCCAGGCTCTGCTGCACCCATCAGGGCACAGAGACCTCTGGGTCCTCACTCTGTGGAATAGTAGTAGGATGCCAAAGTCATCATCACACCTGGTATATGTCCCAGGAGACCCCAGCCTCTCTCAGAACTCTCAGATTCAAAGAACCATCCAGATCACCAGTGAAGATAATAAAAACCCAGGCGTTTTATTTCTGAAAAACTGTGTAAGCGCTTGTCATGTTATAACCAGTGACCCCCATGCCTCATATCAGAAAGCTCAGGTCCGTGCATTGTGGGTGTAGGTTTCTTTCTCTTCCTCACAAGAGAATGTGAAAGT